CCCGGGCTCCGGGAGGCCGTCGGACCCGAGGCGGGCCGCTGGCGGCCGCGGTGGGGTCCTGGAGAAGGCCGGCCGCCGAGTCCGCTCCGGCCCGGGACGGAGGGAAGCGGCCGCCTCCCGAGCTCTTCCCCTGGGCGCGGGAAGGAAGGGGCTGCGCGGTTTGTGCTTCACCACCGTAGACTCCCGGCCCTCGCCCCGCTAAAGATGCCCTGCAGAGGTAGTCGAAGAGTGAGAAGGGACGTCGGGGAGCCTTCGGCAGCCCTCGCTGCCTTTCACGCACGCAGGGAACCACTTTGCTAGGTGCTGAAGAGCACAGTGGCGTGGGACGCCGTTGTCGCTAACCTCGAGTTGATCATGCCCCGAGACTTGAGAGCGTGGACGGATGTGACTGCCTGGTTCAAACCTACATTTTGCGGATTAGGCAGTTGAGGCTTAGATGGAGACTGGTGAAGGGACCTCCCTAAGGCCGCACAGCTGGGTAGGGGGAGGGCTGGGACTGGGGCGTTGCTGTGGCTCCCAGTCCTGAGGCATGTGTTCCGCGCGCCTCTCCGCGTGCACACGCTCAGCTCCGCAGACTGTAAAGTCCAGGAGGGCCCGACCATTTCCCTTTCGTACGCTATTCGACTTTAATACCTTACACAGGGTAAAGGTTGAATAAAGGTGCACAGGACATAGTTATGACATGAATGAGTGGTGCTAATATAAGATTACTATTCGGGTTCTGTTTGTTAACCGGATTATATAAGATAAGCAGTTTGCCGAAGATAAAACAAGTAAATCACCTCGTGGTAAAGTGCATCTGTATTGGCAAATGCTGTATTTGTAAATTGAGACAAGTTTGATCATTTTGCATTCAGTAGCAAAGATGTTGAAATTGTGTTGTTTGAACACGGAGGAAATTGATACACTTTATGTTACTAATGTCATTGTTATTAAAGAGCTATAAAGTTATAAAACTATTTGCTTTGACACATTTCAACTCTCGAAGCTGCACTTCAGTAAAAATTTGAACAAGCAGTAGCAATGTTCTTAATTGTGCTGAGGGAGTTTGCGAAGGAACCAATCATTGTTGGCTGTGTCTAGGTAGCCCTTAGTAAGATGGATAGGTATCCTAGACATTTTTTTGTGTTTAGACCTTTTTTTAAAACACATATTAGGTTATATAGTTGAGCAACATAAAGGCATACATGCACAAATACGTGTGGAAGATTTTGGATTTATTATTTCATTAATTATGACTGAATCTAATTTAGGATTACCCAAGAAGATTAATGTTATAGATAAATGAAATCTGCATGTATGTTCCTTTTTGGCCTAAAAGAGACTTATTTTCATACAAACCTTTTATAAAAGTTGCTCACCCAGTGAATAGCCTTTGATTTTATTTCCACTTTGTACACTTCTTTTCCGAGGTAAAATATACCAGAAGTTATGCAAAACATGTAAAAGTGAAAAGGCTGTTTTATATTCATATTTCCTCACAGCCTTTCATATTGTAACTGTTTGATACATTATTAGATGAATTGATTCTAACTTGTCCTTTCATCAATGAAGCAATTCAAATACAACTCCAAAAATTCACTCATTTAAGCTTCCCCATTTTGCAGAGTTGCGGGGGAGGAGTCTGGAATATGCCTTTATTTAAGGAAGTTACCTAGTATGATTTGTGATCAGTACCCTCTAAAAACAGGGAGTCCCAGTCCCCTTTGTTTTGCTTCTGGAAAGTGCTTGTAGTTCTTTATCTCCATGTGCATTGTGGGTGAATCATGCTGACTTTATCCGCTCACTCTTTGGGAAGATGGGAGACAACGTCTGCAATAAAGCTGGTGCCAGTAACATGCTCCCTTCTACCCTGTTCTCATTATGCAGGTTAGAGGCAACAACAGCTGTGGGTTTGAGAACAACATTTGTGCTCATTTGCTGTCTTTTTGTTGCTGCTGCTCCCAAGGGAGGTGTCTGAGTCCTGCATACCTGGTATCAGCCCTGCTTGCTCTGCTGCTTGTTCCTGTCCAACACTGCCTCCCCTGCCTGTGGGGAGAACATCCATCATCTAGCCACTTATTTTGGCCCCTCATCACAAGATTCCGTAGCACTTTTTGTGGGTATAATTGCATATTGGCATTATCTTCTGTAGCATTTTGGGAGAGGGGGAAGGGAGCAGGTCTGATTTCCCTCTGCCATAGGTTATGCCAAGCCCCTCCCCACCTTGTGCCCTTGTACCCTCTACTCAGCTGCATTCATGAGGTTACTTCTCCACTGTGGGAACCTGTGTGGTTTGGCTTTTCTGTGCTTAGCCTCAGATGCCATTCACACCCTTCAGGACCTGACAGCTGCCTATCCTGCTTCCGCTTTCTATCATCACCCGAACTCCTCAACCACCTAGACTGCACACAACCTTACAGATAGCTGATTAGTGCAGAGTAATTACTATCATATTAAACGTAACATGTTAACACAGTAGTCACCATTTATTGCTTGGCACAGCAAACTGCTAGGCTCTGTGTTAAGTGTTTTGAATTCCTTTCCTAATTTACATTGTTTACCCGATGAAGGGGGAATTAAAGAGTCCCCAAGATTAAGTTTAGTTAACATCATTTGGTAAGAGGGATAACTGACTGGAACCTTCCAGAGCAATTGCTCTTTATTTATTTTTTAAAATATCTTTATTGATTTCAGAGAGAGGAAGGGAGAGACAGAAATGTCAATGGTGAGAGAGTGGTCATTGATCGACTGCCTCCTGCACGCCCCCAACTGGGGATCAAGCCCACAACCTGGGCATGTGCCCTGACTGGGAATCGAACCTGGATCTCCTGGATGCTAGGTTGATGCTCAACTGCTGAGCCACGCCCAACTAGGCCCAGAGCCGTTGCTCTTAATCCCTACATGATATTGTTCCTGTGTATATCATGTATTAATTGACTTTAGGGGTTTATTATATTTTTAATATTAAGCTAATGCAAGTAGACTTATCACATACTATTGATACCTATCTATATATCAATGGAGATGCTGTATGAAGGTGCAGACAATGTAATAGATAAATTCAAATTAAGACTTGGAAAGTTTTGTAGATAGGTCAAGGTGTGGGGGATACAGTTAGGATGCAGATATGGGAGCCGTAGGAAGTTTGGATCTAAATCTGATTTCAAAAAAGGAAATATGATAAATTACATTTTCTCACTTGTCAGTGTACATACGCCTCCCTCTGAGACCTATTTCCCTTTTCCTTCTAGGTTGTGTTTGAGTAATTTATTTGAATTTTACTTTGTATAAAAATGTGTCAGACTTACTTGTTTAGTAATCACATGTATACCAAGTTTTAATATAACCTTTTCTAAAGCCTAAGTGTACATTATGCTAATGAGTTGAGAAATAACCCAAATTTTATTAAATAATTTTAAAGTTAGTTATTGACATTGGGAACTCAAAACATTTATCATGAAATAGTTTAGAAAACACTTTCAAAAACCACTAATCTACCTCTGGAGGTATTGAGATTCTATTTAAAAAATTAAACTTACTGAAGTATGCAAACATTTTTGACAATTTAATTTTTTTGCTTCTTTCTAGTAGCTTATGTTGCAGCACTTGCTACATGATAGGAATGGGGTGAGGTGTCTTAGAATTTGTTAACCTTTTCTTGCAGATCAAGTAGTCTCAACAAGATTTCTCTCTTAGGCTACAGCTATACTTGGTTGCTGATGAGTCTCTATTATTGTCAAAATGTATCTAGAAACATTTTCTTACTGCTAAGGCCAAAGTGAAAATGGTCCTTTTAAAGTAGCACTGCTTATTTTTATATGTATGGTTAAAAGATGCTTTTTAGTCATTGAGTTAGGCATTAGATGATTAGTTACTTGCCTTGCTTAATTTTCTTAGTTCAAAGAATGCACTTAGTAAAGTCTTGTATATGGCTAGGATGTTGTACTTTTTAGCTATTTCTCATCTGGAAAATATAAATGTGTGGTTTATAGCTGAAACAAGATCTTACATTTACTGGAAAGCAGCCAAATGGTTAACTTTTTAAAAGTGTATCTCCCTCCCTACTAAACATGCTTGTTTATTTTTTTTTACAAGAAACATTGAAAATAGAAATGGGTAATCTTAAATTTTTGATATTAATGAACTAATCAGTTATTTGAAATTGTGATAGCCGCTGTGCGTTCCAGCCGGCCCAGTGATCCCGCTGCGCCTCCGGCCAAGACCTCACCAAAGTGCTGGTTCAAATGGAACACTCCGTGGAAACCATGATGTTCACGTTTCAAAAATTTGCTGGCGATAAAGGCTACTTAAGAAGGATGAGACAGTACTCACGAGAAAGGAGTTCTCTGGATTTTTGGAAAATTAAAAAGGTGGAGGCAAAATAATGAAGGACCTGGACCAGTGCCGAGAGGGCAGGGCGGGCTTCCAGAGCCTCTTTTCACGGATGCTGGGCTCCCCATCGCTTGCAGGGACTATTCTGTAATACACACGAGCAGAAGGGAAAGTTTCAAGCAGGCGGCACTGAGCAGTTCTCCTGCCCTGATAAGAGTTCTCCCAATTGGCTGCTTAAGGAATCTCTGCCCGACAGCTTCCCCCTGTATAAAGCTTTGATGAGCAGATTGGGACCCTTAGAAAATGTACAAATAAAATCCCACCCTCATTTGACAAGAGAAAGAAAAGCCAATTAAGCTAGATAAGTTTTTGATTTTTATATTGCTTGTATCCTCTTGCTGTCAATAAACAAATTTCTTTTTTAGATCCTAAAATAAAAAAAATAAAACACAATTGTAATAGTCACAATATGTTTTTGGCATTTAAATAATATTAGGAGTCCTGGCTGGATAACTCAGTTGGTTAGAGCGTCTTCCGATACACCAAAGTTGTGGGTTCAGTCCCTAGTCAGCACACATATAAGAATCAACCAATGAAGGCATAAGTAAGTGGAACAATAAATCGATGTGTTTTTTTTCCTCTCTCTTTCCCTCTCCTTTTCTTTCCCCCTTCCTCTCTCAAATCAATCAAATATATATATATATATATATATATATTGGGGAAAGGATTCTTTCATGCTGAGGAGTTGATCACTAAGGTTTTTAATTAACCTGATTTCATGTTCCATTTCTTAGCAGAATCACCTATTTTTATGGATCATATATGCTGTCTCTATTTGTTTAGCATTTTAAAAACAATATTTAAAACAATTCATGATATGACCATAACCATCAACAGTCTATAAAATTATTGTCTCTCAATAATTGATGGCAATGGATTCTCTAATTTTACTCAGATCCCTCTTTGCTGATGCTGGATGAACAATTTTAATCAAGGGAGACTGGTGCTGCATGTAACTAGTGAGGATCACAATCAAGGAGTAAAGGTGAAGATGAAAAATTTTCTAAAAAAGTGGAAAAATTTGCTAATTTGGACTTAAACATAAGTCAGTCAAGTTCCAGTTAGGACCTTGCCAATTCTGAGCTTCATTATAAGTGGGAACTTGAGAACCATGTGGTGGCTTTTTGAAGCTTGTGCTCAGAAGTCACACAAGTAATTTCCATTCACATTTTATTGGCCAGAGCAAGTTATGTGGCCAGGTTTGCCTTATTGGGGCCCACAGCAAGAGAGGGGCAGTGAATATTTTTGCTATATAATCTGCCACAGTGCCTTTGCACGTTCCTTTTTTTTTCAATGGTGGCAAAAAACACAACATAAAACTTACCATCTTAACCACTTTTCAGTGTTAACTATACACACTGTTGTGCAATAGATCTGTAGAATTTTTCATCTTGCAAAACTGCAACTCTATACCCACTGAACTCTTTTCTTCCTGCCCATATCCCCTGGCGACCACCATTCTACTTTTATAATTTCTAAGAGTTTGACTACTTTAGCTACTTCATATAAGTGGACCAGAGATAGAGCCTGCAACCGAGGTCCATGACCTTGGCCAGAACTGAACCCAGGACCCTTCAGTCCACGGGCCGACACTAACCACTGAGCAAAACTGACCAGGGCAGGGTTGCTCTCTTTTTTAAGGCTGAATTCCATTGTATTATATATATAATATTTTCTTTATCCATTCATCTGTCTGCACATTTAGATTGTTTCCACCTCTCGGCTGTTGTAGAAATAGGTTTTACAATCTATAGAAAGTTTTAAACATGATTTGTTCTGTAAGGTAACTCATCCATGTTGAGATTGAGCTTCTCAAGTATATGTTTATTTTAAGTAAGTTTTAAATGTGTGGAAGTGTTAAGATAGCACAGAGAGTTCCCATAAACCATATACCCAGTTTCCCCTATTGCTTACATCTTATATTAGTATGGTATATTTATTTAAATAAACTGAATTGATACATTATTACTAAAATCCATAGTATATTCAGATTTTCTTAGGTTTTAAAAATTGAGCTGAAATTCATATAACAAAATTAATCATTTTAAAGTGTAATTCAGTGACAGTAATTCACAATGCTCTGCAACCTCCACCTATATTAAGTTCCAAAACATTTTCATTACTCTAAAAAAAATCCCTGTATCCATTAAGTAGTCACTCCTATTCCCCTCTACAGTTAGTTTCTGGAAAACACCAGTCTGTTTCTGTCACTATGGACTTACCTATTCTGGATACTTCATTACATGGAGTGATACGATATGTGGCCTTTTGTGTCTGGCTTCTTTCACTTAGCATACTGTTTTTGAGGGTCATCCACCTTGTGTAGCATGTATCATTTCTATGGCTTAATAACTTTCTGTTGTAATGAAAGAGGAGAAGTAACAACTGACACCAAAGAAATACAAAAGATTGTAAGAAGTTACTACAAACAACTATATGCCAACAAATTGGACAATCTGGAATAAATGGATAAGTTCCTTGAAACACAATCTTCTAAAATGAATCAGGAAGAATCATAGAATCTGAACAGACAGATTATAACTAGTGAAATCAAAGCGGGAATTAAAAAACTCTGAACAAACAGAAGTCCTGGACTGGATGGCTTCACAGGTGAATTTTACCAAGCATTCAAAGAACTAACACCTATCATCCTCAAACTATTCCAAAAAATTCAAGACGTGGGAAGACTCCCAAGCTCATTTTACAAGGCCAGCATTATCTTAATTCCAAAACCAGATGACACTGCAAAGAAAGAAAATTACAGGCCAGCATCCCTGATGAACATAGATGCTAAAATCCTCAACAGAATACTAGCAAATGGGATCCAGCAATATATTAAAAAGACCATACACCATGATCAAGTGGGATTTATTCCGGGGATACAAGGTTGGTACAATATCTGCAAATCAATAAACGTGATACATCACATAAACAAAATGAGGGATAAAAACCACATGATCATGTCAGTAGATGCAGAAAAAGCATTTGGTAAAATTCAGCACCCATTTACAATAAAAACTCTCAGCAAAGTGGGAATAGAAGGATCATACCTTAACATAGGAAAGGCCATATATGACAGATCCACAGCCAACATCATAATGGGCAAAACTACAGCCATTTTCCTTAAGATCAGGAACAAGAGAGGGATGTCAGCTTTCACCACTCTTGTTTAACATAGTACTGGAATTCTAAGACAGCAGTGAGACAAGAAGAAAAAAGAAGCTTCTAAACTGGAAAGGAAGAAGTAAAACTGTCATTATTTGTAGATGACATGATACTGTATGTAGAGAACCCTAAAAATTCTACCAAAACACCACTAGAACTGATAAGTGAATTCAGTAAAGTAGCAGGATACAAAATAAATATCAGGAAATCAGTTGCATTTTTACACACCAATAATGAACTATGAGAAAGGGAAAATAAGAAAAGAATCCCATGTACAATTGCTTCAACAAGAATAAAATTCTTAGGAATACATTTAACCAAGGATGTAAAAGCTGTACTTGGAAAGTTATAGGACACTGAAGAAAGAAATGGAAGAAGATATAAATAAGTGGAAGCATATACCGTGTTCATGGATAGGAAGGATTAACATTATTAAAATGTCCATACTACCCAGAGCAATCTACAGGTTCAACACAATCCCTATCAAGATACCAATGGCACATTTCACAGCTAGAACAAATATTCCAAAACTTTATATGGAACAACAACAACAAAAAACCCCAAATAGCCACAGCAATCTTGAGAAAGAAAAACAAAGTTGGAGGAATCATGCTGATATCAAACTGTACTACAAGGCCATCGTAATCAAAACGGCGTGATACTGGCATAAAAATAGATCAATGGAACAGACTAGAGAGCCCAGAAATAAGCCCGTGCCTTTATGGTCAATTAATATTTGACAAACGAGGTAAGAACATGCAATGGGGTAAAGACAGTCTATTCAATAAATGGTGTTGGGATAACTGGACAGATACGTGCAAAAAAATGAAACTAGACAACCTTCTTCCACCATACACAAGAATACACTCAAAATGGATTAGACTTAAATGTCAGACTCAAAATCATAAAATTCCTAGAAAACATAGGGAGGTTGGGGAGCTGCATGGGGGATGGGTAGAAGGATTGAGCAAAAAAAGAAAAACAACTACTCACGGACATGGACAACAATGAAGAAATAACATACCGTTGTGTATGCGCATGTATTCTACTGTATATGTGTGTACATTGCACCACACTGTTAAAGTTTTCCGCACATTGAACCCTTTACATAACCACCAGCAAGGTTCTAATTTCTTCATATCCTTACCAAAAACACTTTAATTTTCTTCTAATTTTTTCTTTTTTAAACAAAATATAACGTAGTTGGTGTGAAGTATGTCGCTGTGGTTTTTTATATTGAATTCTTTTTCTTTGAGGTTTATTGAGGTATAACTGACCTCATTGTAGTTTTGATTTGCGTTTCCCTAATGGCTAATGATGCTGAGCATCTTTTCATGGGCTTGCTGGCCATTTGTGTAACTACTATGGAGAAATGTGTATTTATGTCCTTTACTCATATTTTAATTGGGTTGTCATTTTGTTGTTGTAAAAGTTCTTTATATGTACTGGATGCTGTACCCTTATGAGATATATTCGGTAATATCACAAATATTACCTCCCATCATCTGTTCTTTTATCCCTATGCTTTTGGTGCCATATCTGAGAATCCATTGCCAAATACAAGGTCATGAAGACTTATTCCTGTTTGTTTTTTTAAAGAGCTTTTTTAGTGTTTAGCTCTGCCATTTTGAGGTATGATACATTTTGAGTTAGTTTTTTATATATTGTATGAGGTAGGGGTCCAACTTCATTCTTTTACATGTAGAAATCTAGTTATTTTAGAACCATTTGTTGAGAAGACTGTTCTTTCCCCATTGAGTGTTTTTGGCACCCTTGTTGAAAATTAATTGGTTGTAGATATGAGTTTATTTCTTGACTTTCAGTTCTATTTTATTGGTCTGTATATCTTTCCTTTTGCCAACACCACCTGTCTTGGTTGCTGTTGCTTCCTAGTAAGTTTTGTAGTAAGGGTGTGTGTCCTCCTGTTTTGTTATTTTAAAATATTGTTTTGACTGTTGGAGCCTCTTACACTTCCATATAAGCTGAGGATGGCTTTTTCTATATCTGCAAAAAAGACCTTTGGAATTTTGATAGGGATTGCACTGAATCTGTGGATCACGTCGGGCACCAATTGCTCTCTTATATTAAGCCTTCAAATCTAAGAACTGTATCTCACATGTTTTGATGTGTTGTATTTTTGTTTTCATCCATGTCAAAGTATTTTCTTATTTCCCTTGTGATTTCTTCTTTGACCAATTGGCTGATTGAGTGTGTTATCCAATTTCCACATATTTGTGAATTTTCCATTTTTTTCCTTCTGTTACAGGTTTATAGTTTCATTCCATATGTGTTGGAGAAGATACTTTGGATGGTTTCAATTTTTAAAAATTTATTGATACTTGCTTTGTGTCCTGACATTATGGTGTGTCCTGGGAAATGTTCTATATTTGCTGTTTTTGCGTGGAATGTTCTGTATATGTCTGTTAGGTCCAGTCGGTTTATAGTGTTGTTCAAGTCTTCCAGAGCTTTGTTGACCTAGCTAGTTGTCCTATCCATTAATTAACAGTGGAAGTCTCCAGCTATTTCTGAACCGTCTCTTTCTACCTTCAGTTCTGCTACTTTTCTTCATACAGTTTGGGGGCTCTTGTTAGGTATGTATGTATTTATAATAGTTATTTCTTCTCCCACGCTTTCACTTTTAACCTATTTGTGTTTTGGATCTAAAATGAGTCTCTTATAGACAGCATATAGTTGGATCATGTTTTTCCTCTGTATAGTCCATGCTTTTGTTTCTTTGAATGCTTTGTAATATTTTGTTAAAAACTAGATGTTTTGAATATTATAATGAGGTAACTCTGGAAATCAGATTCTTCTCTCTCAGAATTTGTTTTTGTTGTTTGCTGTGGATTCTAGTTGTTTGTCAGGTTTTCTAGACTATTTTTGTAAAGTCTGTTTTGTTTTGTTTGTTCTTTAGAGTCTGTTTCTTTAGCATGTGGTTAGCTCATATTTTGAGAGAGATCTCCTGGAATGCCGGGAGCCAGAAAAAGAGAGGGAAGAAACCTTGTAATGATTGCAGAATGGCTCTGTGCTGTGGCTCTTTCACAGTGCTTAGCCACGCTGTTCACAGTTCTGCCTTAGTCTTCATTTCCTGCTTGTGCTGAGCCTAAGATCTGCCAAAGGTGAAAGCTGAGTGTCTTTCCAAGTCTTTTCTGAGCATGCTTCCCACCCTGGGCAAGTGTGTGGCTTTCTAAATTCCTACCCTTAGGATTCATGGGCACTTTCCAATGCCCTGACTTCCCAAAGTAACTCTCTCCCCAGTGTTTCCCCCAGGCTTTTGGTATATTTGTTTGCCTCAGTTGAATTCATTTGCCCCATGTAGCATCACGTTGTTGTCAGTTGCCTCAAGGGTTTTGTGTAGCCCACTTTTCCACCCAGAGAGTGCTAAGTTAGGCAAAACCATGACAAGCACTTTGCCTCCGTCCTTCGCGTAGCCCTCAGTCAGGTCAAAACCAACACAGTTCTTTCATAAGGTCTGCTCTGCTCTCTCTGGAACCAGGACTAGGTTCCCACACTGAGAAAGAAAGCTGCTGTCTTCAGGACCACTGTGTAGTAAGGAGAGGGCAAAGGCAAGTAAAAAATGCTGCAAAGCTTTCCTACTATTTCAAGTTGTCTTTTTCTTGACTCAGTTCACTGAGTTGCTGTAAATCTCTGTCTTCTGGAGCTGTGACAAAGGTGATTGTGACAGCTCGATTTTTCAGTGATCTGTGGAGGTCCTTGGAACTATCTATGCTACCATTTTTGGTGATGTCACTCAAGAAAGATTTAAAAAAAATTATTATGATATTTTGCTATGAGTAAAATCCAAGAAATATATTAATGTTTATACAAATTGTTAACAGGATGGAATCCGGCGTGGTAGACCCAGAGCAGATACTGTCCGGGATTTAATAAATGAAGGAGAGCATTCGTCCAGCAGAATTCGTTGTGACATCTGTAATAGGGTGTTTCCACGGGAGAAATCACTCCAGGCTCACAAAAGGACTCATACAGGTAAATTGAGCAAATCTTAGAGAATGTCAAAAATAATACCTAACTGAAAGCTGATTTGATGTTTGGGCTTATAAATTTATTTTTTAGTTGCCTTATATTTCCTTATTGTAGTTTTTTAAAACAGGCACTGTGTGTGTTACTGGTCCAAGGTTTGTGTTCCTGATACTTCAAAAGAAATGCCAATATTCAATAGATCAGAGGTTTGGAGCAAGGAAAGTTTTATTGATCGAGAAGGCCTAGCTTGAGAAATGGGAGAACTAATTCTCAAATCCGTTTTAAGAAGAGCCTGAAATTCAGGCATCTTTTATTGTTAAGGGGAGGGAGGAGGGGCAAGGCAAGGGGTGGGTGCAGGCTGTGGACAGGTGGGCATTGAATGGGATCTGAGGAAGAGAGAAATTCCTCGATTCCTTCGTTCTCTGTTGGTCCGTTCACACCCCCCTTCCCCTGCTGATCTGAGTCCAATTATGGAGACTCCTGTGAACTGTACACATTTCCTACCTCTTGGGGGTAGGGGGAAGCACCTTCTGTGGCAAGGGGCTATTCTTGCAAAAATTCTAACTTAGTTGTTTAGAGCATTGTCCCCAATACGCCAAGGTTATGGGTTCAGTTGCCGGTCAGGGCGCATACAAGAATCAACCAATGAGTGCATAAGTAAGTGGAACAACAAATCAATGTTTCTCTCTCTCTCTCTCTCTCTCAAATCAATAAATAAAAATTAAAAAAACACCCCAAAAAATCCTCAAGCAGAATTCCTATAGTTAATTATCACATCTATAGCAGGAACTATTAGCTGGAGGCCAAAAGAGAGAGGAAGCTTTTCACTCTAAGTAGTTTCTTTTTTGGTAGAGAGGGATGGCTTTCTGAACCATGTGACTTCTAAAGGTATAGGGTAATTCATCTAGTAGTCATAGGAACATTATTACTACATTTAGTTTTATCCTTATACCTATCTGATTTTTACTTGATTTGCCCCTAACTTGTCTGTATAATTGTTTAAACTTGATATGCCCTTAACTGACTTGTAAGCCATATACTAAAATAGTAATTGTCAAGTTTTTAATAGAATTTCCTGAGCCCTCAGTGTGCCATGAAAGTGTTTGACCTCGCCATTAAATCTAAGGTGAAGCATAACTTTTCAGAATTAATGTATTGTAGGCAGCTATTTCAAGACTATCATACATCTTTATTTGTGTAGAGAAATTATGCTTGCATTTAAAGTACCGTATAGAAAGAACAAATAATACAGAGAGAGTCCTTGTTCTTTCCACAGAGAAAGTTGATCTCAGAAGAAGGGGCCTCATGGTTCTAATAATTTACAGATGAGGAAACTGAGGTTCCCAAACCACGTACCACTGCTGCAGCCTCTCATATCCTGAAGTCAGGAGCTCTGCTGGCCATCCTAGTAGCACATGCGGCTCTTTAGCACTTGAAATGTGCCTAATCTAAACTGAGATGGGCACTGTGTATAAAGTACACTTAGTATGAAAAAAAGAGTAAATGATGTCCTTAATAATTTCTGAAACGGATTACATACTGAAATGATAATATGTTAGATATATTGGGTTAAATAAAATATATTTTCAAAATTAATTTCACCTGTTTTTCTTTCCTTTTTTTTAATATGGCTACTAGAAGTATTTACACTTTATTTCTGTTGGGCACTCCTGGTCTAGAGTTGGGTTTTTAACTCTTAGACCCCTGTTTTTTTCACTATTTTTATGATCATCATCTGTTTCTTTCTTAGTTTTTGAAAAGATATATTTTAACATTATGTTAGAATATAGCTAAAGCCTAAGCTAAATTCCTGAAAAAGGGTAAAATTTAAATTTTGAATCATAAACTATGGTGGCCAAGAAGTTTTGACTTTATGTACCATTTAGTAAAACAATTATTTAGTAAATATCTGGTTTTGAGAATTCTTGTATTTTTTTTAATCTTCAACTGAGGATATGGTTTCTTAACTGATTTTTTAGAGAGAGGAAAGGGAGAGAGGAGAGAGAAAGAGAGGAGAGAGAAACATGGGTCCATTGCCTCCGTATGCGCCCCATTGGGGACCTAATCCCGCAGCCTAGGTGTGTGCCCTGACTGGGAATTGAACCCGCAACCTTTTGCTGTGTCGGACAACACTCCAACAAACTGAGCCACCCAGCAAGGGAGGAATTTTTGTATTTTTAAAAAATCTAAATAGTTTGAAATATCCCCAAGTAACTGGTTCACAGGCTGAGTACACGTTGCCAGTGTAGGTAAGATTCAAGACCATGTGGCATAAGGAAAAGATCCCTGAGTCCCAGTCCTGACTACTAACCCACTGTGTCACCTGATGCTTCCAGGCATTTGCCTACTACACTGTATGTCAGGAAACTGAGCCCCAAATCTCCATGGTATAGTTCAACTCTAATAGTATATATTTTGTAAAAAGCTTTTCTCTTACTATTTTAAATAACTCCCCCATCTCCTGTGTTTTATTAACTGGTCCAACTATCACAACCATTTAGTACATTTCTAAATAATGAAGAATTTAGAGAGGACTAGTTACCGGTCTTTGAGTTGTAGAGGAAGAACCAGTATATAATTGTTGATCAAAGAATATTTTTTCAAGAAATAATAAATTTAATTGAGCAACATTCTTGAGCACTTTCTCCAGCCTAGCACTGTGTTGAGTACAGGAAGTGAGTTGGAGCACAAGGAATTGTGCATCTTTGTAAAAGGAGAGTACCATGGTGCAGGAACAACACAGGATCCTAAGTTAGCGAGAGGATACAGGCTCCGTTATGGGAGGTGGGAGGAGTTTGGCTGAGAGGCTGCAGGACTGAGGAGATTTGCATGGATAGAGAAGGTAGGATTTGCAAGGAGCAGAACAAGACGAGGAGCTGCCTTCTGGCTGGACTGGATCTCAGGGGTGAAGTAAAGAACTCTGCCCCTTAACCCAGCAGCTACATCGCACATCTTAGGGGGCCATTTAGAAGTCAGCAGATAATTTTTATTTGTCCAAGGAGTGTAATAGGGTTTGGGGTGAGTTGGGGGTAGTTGCTATGACAAAAGCAAGAGCTCTGTGCCAGCCTCTTTGGAAGTGCTGTGCAGGTGGAATGCCTAGGGGGCAGCCAGGGTTAGTTCAAGGTGGAGGGGCTGCCAGTCGACCAGGGGAAGTTGCAGTGGGAAGTAAGAGCAGGAGACATTTTAAAGAATCAGCAAGAGGTGATTTGGATTATGGGGAGAAAAATATGGGATAAGCTGAAGAAGATAACTTCAAGGACTTGAACCTGGGTACCTAAAAGCTCAAGACCTAAAGAAAAGACCGTGCTCCAAGGGGACGGCTGCTTGATAGCATGGAGGTACTGCCTGCGTTTTCACCTCCAGCTCTGCAGAGCCTTGTTCTGTTGTTGTTTGGAGTGGTAATCTATATAAGATGGATTCTCTCCCCCTGCCCCTTCTTCTCACGGTGTTGTCTCAGAAATAACGTATAACATCTGTCTACTTAGGTGAGAGACCCTACCAGTGTGACTATCCAGACTGTGGAAAAGCCTTTGTTCAAAGCGGACAGCTCAAAACACACCAGCGTCTCCACACGGGAGAGAAACCTTTTGTTTGTTCAGAAAATGGTATGATGTTAGGACTTAAGTTTATGTAACAGCTAGATGTGAGTTAGTAGTTAAAATATCTCTTGCTTGAATTTTTTAGGAGGAGAGATTTTTTTGATCAAGATTTTAGAAAACACCATGTTCAATTTCTGGGGAAAGATTGATTTTTAAAATAAAGTATTCTTCTTAGGTGAAAATCTTAAGTGGCAATTAAAAACATTATATGAAACTAAACACAGCCTTTAGAGTAGGCTTTTACTTTGGTTTTAAACATTTTAACTATTAAACTGATGGAAGCATATTATCGTCTGCATTTTCAGTGAAGGGGGAAATTTTACCATCTTAAGATGCCACTGTTGGTAATTTCTTACCACTTTTCTGAAGTGATTTTCTTCATCTCTTATCACATTTTCTTAAGATGTTTTTCTTGTGCACATTTTTATGCAGTTATAATTGAAATTCAGTGCAGTTTTGTTCTGTAGCTCTATGGTTTTCTTGATTATGGTCAGTAATGAATGTCTTCAGGCTTTTTCATCTAGTGAATGTGCTTAAGCATATACTAGTTATATCTGGATTTCTGCCCCTGACCCCCACGCATCAAGAGGCAGCTGTACATATTGATTGCCTTTGTGTTGGATATTGAGTATTTAATTTGTTTTAAAATTTGTTATCAACAGAGCAAAGGGTCACGTTTTCCTACTTAAACTTTGTTAAAGCTTTGTTCATCTTTCGGGATGTTGCCTTATGACAGAGTCCGAGAATAGAATTCCAGGGTCAGAGGGTTCCACCATTTTATGACTCAGGCTAATGAATCACTTCCCAGTGGAGTTGCAGCATTTATAACAATGACCAAGAGGGGAAGGAACCATCATCCCGTCCTCCTCACTAGGCTGGTAAAATACTGTGCTTAGGGTTTTTAGTTTCTCAAGTTATAGAATGCTAAAGCTCCCCGTCTTGATTTACTTTTCCTGGTTACCAGTGACACTGAACATTTTCCATGTCTGCCGGATGGCCCGATTCTGATGAGTGTTTCCCTCTGTTTTGAAGGCTGCCTGAGCAGATTCACCCACGCAAACCGCCACTGTCCGAAGCACCCTTACGCCAGGCTGAAGCGGGAGGAGCCCACCGACGCTCTCAGTAAGCACCAGGCTGTGGACAACCAGGCTGCTGCTGAGTGGTTGGCAAAGTAAGGCTCTCCCTGGAGTCCGCTGCAGAATGCCACCCAGCGCATGGGCTGATGCTGGGCACTTCTGCAGTTCTCCCATTTAAATAAGTTGCTTTTATACACATTTTATGAAATGGTGCTTTATTTTTTTAAACTACAGAATTGTTAGGAGTGTTATTAGGAACTCTGTGTGATAGAAAACTATATGATATTAATTAGTCTTGAGTGCCCGCCCATACCGCAATTTATTTTAAAAGCAAGAGTTTTCCTCATTTTTACAAGAATGTTTTATATATATTTCATTTGTTGTCGGTGCAACCCCTTTTCATTGTCTTACATAAGAATTAGGTTTGTGCTGATTGGTATAGAGATATACACACACATGTACATATATATCCATATTTCTGCATATCTATAGATCCATATAGATGGCAACAAGGTGGAAGGAGCAGTATAAAAAATTGTCTCTAAGGATAGTGTGATTTCAGGAGGTCTGCCTCCCTCTGGCAGTAAAGCGGCCTCCAGCCCTCTGGCCCCTGGTTCCTCGGCACTGCTCCCCCTGTGGTTCTTGGCCTTTGCACCCCCCGCTGCCTCGGCAGACTGTGCTGGCTTCCCTCTTCCTTCAGCCACGAGGCTCATTCTTCACGTCTTACTCAGGTTAACATCCCTTCAGGAAGTTCCTCCCTAACCTGCTCACCAGCCCCCAAAACAAATAAGGTTAGACTCGCTTAATAGGTACTTTTATAACGCACTCTGTTTTCCCTTTCAAAACCTTCATCATAAACTCACTCATTCATTCCGTGCCTGCCTTTCCTGCTGGCCTGTGAGCTCCACCAGGGCAGGGATTATGTGTCTTGCTAACTGGATCCCGTCCCTCCTCCTCCTGCTGGCCTCCGCCACCCCATTCTCTCTTGGTCATCCATACCCGCCTCCTCTCTCCTGTCTCAGTGACCGCCTCATGGAGGCTGCTTCATCCCTCAGTCCATTCTCCATGCTGCTGCCAGAGGGATCTTTCTAAAATGCTGATGTGCTCCTCGGTGTGAAGTCTGAACCCTTTATTATGGCATTCAAAGCCCTTCATTACCTGGTCTCTGCTGACCTAGTTAAACTTCTTTGCCACTTTCCTTTTCTGGTTGTCCTTCAAGTCATACTGAACTATTTGCATTTTTTTAAATATGTCTGAGTATTGCCAAAACTTTTCCAGTTTGAGTAGTCAGGTTTCCTGAAATCTAGTAGTTGTACTTTTTTTGTATCTAATTTTAAAAACAGGTTTACTGAGGTATAATTGACATAAAATAAATTGTACACACTTAAAGTGTATAATTTGGTACATTTGGACATAGGTATACGTCTGTGAAATCATCATCATCAAGATTGTGGACATATCCATCGCTTCCAACAGTCTCCTCAGGCCTCTTCCTGACCCATTTCTCCCACCCCTTCTTGCCCACCTCTACCCAAACAATGCTGATCTGTTTCCTGTCACTATAAACTAGTTTCCATTTTCTAGAATTTTATACAAGTGAAGCTGTACAGTATGCACTCCCTGTTTGTCTGGCTTCTTTCACTCAATGTAATTATTTTGAGATTCATCTATGTACCAATAGTCCATTCCTTTTTATCACTGAGTAGTAATCCATTGCATAGATATACCTCAACTCGTTTATTCATTCACCTACTGATGGGCATTGGGTTATTTTTGGCTATTGCAGGCTACAAATAAAGCTACTATGAATATTAACCTGCAAGTCTTTGTATGGACATTTTTGGATGTAATGATACTGTGATTTAAATATGTATTTCTTTAGTTACCAAATTTTCATTTTTCTCCTGTGAATTACCAGTTGGCCATGTAATAGAATAATGGTGGTGCTCTTAAATTTTTGAAACTCTGTGTTCCAGGTACTAATCTGTAAGTCATATTGTATGAGTTTCAAGTTTCTCATAGTTAACTCTGTCAGAAGTCACTATCCCTCTGTGGATAGGATAAATAGATTTCTAGCAGTTATTTGTTCTACTTCCTGCATACCTTAGTGCATTTTACACATGGTCTTTAAGGCAGCTGTAGTTTAACGGCAAAAACACGTGATTAGAGAGTTGAGTATATGATCCAGAACTGCCAGGTTTTGATTTTGAAAATCAGAAAGTCCCGGAACTTGAACGTTTCCTCCGTAATGAGAAAGATGTGTAATATATGTGACATCACTTTATAACTTCTGGAACTGTAACATAGTGACCACCGTGGTAAAGAGCCTCTTTTTGACCCAGCCAAGTAGACATTTGAGAATGCCACGTAGACATCCAGTAATGCGGCTGCGTTTCCCGCAGGTACTGGGAAAGCCGGGAGCAGCGCGCCCCCGCCGTGAAAGGGAAGCTGGCGCAGAAGGCCGACCAGGAGCAGCAGGACCCGCTGGAGTACCTGCAGTCGGACGAGGACGACGACGAGAAGAGCGGCGCGCGGCGGCGGCTGCAGGAGCAGCGCGAGCGCCTGCACGGGGCGCTGGCGCTCATCGAGCTCGCCAACCTGACGGGCGCGCCGCTGCGCCAGTAGC